TGTTTACTGCTACTGTAAGGGGTTATCATCCTAGTTATCATATACTGTATAGTTTAGTGTTTCTGAAGACATGATGTGTCACGCCCTGGCTCTGGGGACTCTTAAATGTTGAGCCAGGGTGTGGATTTTCATTGTTTAGTTTTCTATGTTTTTGTTCTAGATCGTGTTGATCTATGTTGGCCAGGGTGGTTCCCAATCAGAGACAGCTGTAGCTCGTTGTCTCTGATTGGGGACCATACTTAGGCAGCCTGTTGGCACCAGTTAGTTTGTGGGATCTTGTTCCGTAAGGTTTGTTTTGTGTTAACCTAGGACTTCACGTATCGTTTGGTTTGTTGTTTTGGTTCGTGTTCAGTACAAATAAAATGTACGCTTATCAAGCTGCGCCTTGGTCCGTGTCTTCAGTCAACGATCGTGACATGATGAGACATGATCGGCTCTATGGTGAATGTCTGGATGACCCATTCATCTCAATCTAGGGATGTTCAGATTGTCCACAGCGGGAAACGTTTTTTTTTTTTCTTCACAGATATTATTAGAGGCATGCTTTGATACTTCCGGTTAGGTCCCATTTAAGATTTATTGGAGTTTTATATGATAATGGCCCTCCTGTAGCTCAGTTGGTAGAGCATGGTGCTTGCAACGCCAGGGTTGTGGGTTCGTTTCCCACGGGGGGCCAGTATGAAAAATGTATGCACTCACTAACTGTAAGTCGCTCTGGATAAGAGCATCTGCTAAAAATGACTAAAATCTAAAAATAAATAATAATAATAATAAATCTTTTAAACACTTTTCAAGACACACAGTTACATCACATACACAAGCTAATCAGCAGGATAAAAAGTAATACAATCCCTCATTAATATAAGCAAATATAAAAGTACATACAGTGCCGTGAAAAAGTATTTGCCCCCTTTCAGATTTTCTCTATTTTTGCATATTTTTTACACTGAACATTATCACATCTTTTAAAAAAACAACTAATATTACATGAAGGGAAACTGAATGAACAAATAACTCAACATTTTGATACGTATTTAATTTATTTAATAAACATAGTTATGCAACACCCAGTGCCCCTGTGTGAAAAAGTCATTGCCCCCTTACACTTAATAACTGGTTGTGCCACCTTTTGCTGCAATGACTGCAACCAAACACTTCCTGTAGTTTTTTATCCCACTCTTTTGGCCCACTCTTCCATGCAGAACTGCTTAAACTCAGCGACATTTGTGGGTTTTTAGAGGATGAACTGCTCTTTTCAGGTCCTGCCACAACATCTCAATCGGGTTTAGGTCCAAAACTTTAAATGTGTTGCTTTTCAGCCATTCTGATGTAGACTTGCTTGTATGTTTTGGATCATTGTCTTGTTGCATGAACCAGCTGCGCTTCAGCTTCAGCTCACAGACAGATGGCCTGACATTCACCTTTAGAATTATTTGATACAGAGCAGAATTCATGGTTCCTTCAATGATGGTATGTCGTCCAGATCCTGAGGCAGCAAAGCCTCCCCAAACCATCACACTACCACCACCATGCTTGACCGTATTACTGTGGAATGTAGTGTTTGGTTTTTGCTAGACATAAAGGGAACCATGTCGTCCAAAATGTTCCACTTTTGACTCATCTGTCCATTGAACATTCTTTCAGGTGTCTTGGCGATCATCCAGGTGCTTCCAGGTGCTTTTTGGCAAACTTCAGTCAACTTTTTGGATGACATGACCCATGTTATGTCTGGTGAAAACCAAACACTGCATTCTGTAGTGTGATGCTTTGTGGATGCTTTGCTGCCTCAGGACATGGACGACTTGCCACCATTGAAGGAACCATGAATTCTGCTCTGTATCAGAGAATTCTAAACGACAATGTCAGGCCATCCGTCTGTGAGCTGAAACTAAAGCGCAGCTGGGTCATACAGCAAGACAATGATCCAAAACACACAAGCAAGTCTACATCAGAATGGCTGAAAAGCAACACATTTAAAGTTTTGGAATGACCTAGTCAAAGTCCAGACCTAAACCTGATTGAGATGTTGTGGCAGGACCTGAAAAGAGCAGTTCATGCTCAGAAAACCACAAATGTCATTGAGTTTAAACAGTTCTGCATGGAAAAGTGGCCAAAATTCCTCCACAGCGATGTGAGAGACTGATCAACAACTGCAAGCGTTTGGTTGCAGTCATTGCAGCTAAAGGTGGCATAACCAGTTATTGAGTGTAGGGGGCAATTACTTTTCCACACAGGGGCATTGGGCGTTACATACAGTGCATTCAGAAAGTATCTTACCACATTTTGTTACGTTTCAGCCTTACTATTCTACTATCAATCTACACATAATACCCCATAATGACAAAGCGAAAACGTTTTTTTTTTTTGTTGAAATGTTTGCTAATTTATAAAAAATTAAAAACAGAAATACCTTATTTACATAAGTATTCAGACCCTTTGCTATGAGACTCGAAATTGAGCTCTGGTGCATCCTGTTTCCATTGATCATCCTTGAGCTGTTTCTACACCTTGATTGGAGTCCACCTGTGGTATATTCAATTGATTGGAATTGATTTGGAAAGGCACACACCTGTCTATATAAGGTCCCACAGTTGACAGTGCATGTCAGAGCAAAAACCAAGCATGAGGTCGAAGGAATTGTCCGTAGAGCGCCGAGACAGGATTGTGTCGAGGCACAGATCTGGGGAAGGGTACCAAAAAATGTCTACAGCATTGAAGGTCCCCAAGAACACAATGGCCTCCATCATTCTTAAATGGAAGAAGTTTGGAACCACCAAGACTCTTCATAGAGCTGGCCACCCTGCCAAACTGTACAATTGAGGGAGAAAGGCCTTGGTCAGGGAGGTGACCAAGAACCCGATGGTCACTCTGGACAGAGCTCCAGAGTTCCTCTGTGGAGATGGGAGAACCTTATAGAAGGACAACTCTCTGCAGCACTCCACCAATCAGGCCTTTATGGTAGAGTGGCCAGATGGAGTTTGCCGAAAGGCACGTAAAGGACTCTCAGACCATGAGAAACAAGATTCTCTGGTCTGATGAAACCAAGATCGAACTCTTTGGCCTGAATGCCAAGCGTCACATCTGGAGGAAACCTGGCACCATCCCTACATTGAAGCATGGTGGTGGCAGCATCATGCTGTGGGGATGTTTTTCAGTGGCAGGGACTGGGAAACTAGTCAGGATCGAGGGAAAGGTGAACGGAGCAAAGTACAGAGTGATCCTTGATGAAAACCTGCTCCAGAGCTCTCAGGACCTCAGAATGGGGTGAAGGTTCAACTTCCAACAGGACAACAACCCTAAGCACACAGCCAAGACAACGCAAGAGTGGCTTCAGGACAAGTCTCTGAATGTCCTTGAGTGGCCGGAGAGACCTGAAAATAGCTGTGCAGCAACACTCCAACCTGACAGAGCTTGAGAGGATCTGCAGAGAACAATAGGAGAAACTCCCCAAATACGGGTGTGCCAAGCTTGTAGCGTCATACCCAAGAAGACTCGAGGCAGTAATGGCTGCCAAAGGTGCTTCAACAAAGTACTGAGTAAAAGGTCTGAATACTTATGTAAATATGTTATTTCAGTTGTTGTTTTTTTATTCATTTTCAAAGATTTATAAAAAACTGTTTTTGCTTTGTCATTATGGGGTATTGTGGGTAGACTGATGAGGGGGAAAAAAACAATTTAATCCATTTTAAAATAAGGCTGTAACGTAACAAAATGTGGAAAAAGTCCAGGGGTCTGAATACTTTCCGAATAGGTTCTCACAACTAATAAAGCCCTAATATCACGCAAGCCATTTTAGCATTTGAATGCTGAAGGTGCCGCGCAGATGTGCAAGAACAGGCCGTCTACCTCGTGTTGGTCAGCGCGAGAAGCTGGGCATAGTGCGCAGTTTGACTACAGTAGGCTACTAATATTGCCTGGGGTTGTTCGGCATGCAAAATGACTTGTAGATCAATGACTGTCAACACAGTTACATGCTTAGTTCGACACTGAATGAGGGGACGCATCAGTTGTCACAAAATATTTGGTATTTTTGGATGGAAAAAATAATGTAATATGAGCAACCCCAAAAAAATTTGAACCTGCTATTTGTAACGTTTGAATTGATTTTCTGACTGATGCATGCTACATTTGGATCAGTTTGGGGTCTACTGGACCGATGCACTAGTATCTTAAACATTTGAATCGGGGACCAATGTGTATCAGTGAATCGTTACATATTTTTAAAAACATCACACTGATTTTATTTATTTTAAAACATACTTGCAGTGAAGCCGCTCAACATTTACATTACATTCAGTCATCTAGCTGACGCTCCCATCCAGAGTGACCCACAGCAGTATCAAAATGTTGTATTATTTGTTCACTCAGGTTCCCTTTATCTAATATTAGGTTTTGGTTGAAGATCTGATAACATTTTGTTTAAAAAATATGCAAAAATAGAGAAAATCAGAAAGGGGGAAAATACTTTTTCACGGCACTGTAAATGGACTGTCAATACATTGTCTGTGTTTGTCTTTGGATTGAGGGGCAATCTGAGATGGGTTGACAGATATGGTCCTTGAGTAAGTTTTTCCATTGCCACTGTGCTGAACATCACTGTGTAATATTGAACTGGATGTGGGAGCACATCAACAGCAGGTTCTATGAGGATGGTCTAACTTATCTCTCACATATGATGACATGTTTATTGCTTTTCAATGTATTCATGTTATCCATACAGTGAAGCTGTTTTCACTCAATTACTTACAGTTTCATTTGTCTACTCTACACTACCCATCAAAGTTTAACGAGCAAACTATGTGAGTGATGTAACACCCCTTGAATTCAAATGCTAGCTTGGAAGTTGCTGTGTTTAATCATTGTTTCCTTTCAGGGAGGAAGCACTATCTTAATGATCAAAGAGTGCCATGATGAGTGAAGATTCTCTGTCTGATTCATTCCAGAAGCACGGCTAAGCGCCACACCACCACCACCACCACAGCCCACCACTTCTAGAGGCCATGGAGGAAGCCAAGGTCACAGAAGTTCCCCACCTGGAGCGGAGGGTCGGGAAGCGGAAAGATCCCATGGCCATCCTGAAAACCAAGCTGAGCAGTAGCCTGTCCTGCTCCGTGCCCAGGGTCAAGACTACCCTGACTGGGTTATTCCCTGTGGTGCTCTGGCTGCCCAAATACAAGCTGAAAGAGTATATCTGGGGTGATCTAATGTCGGGCCTAGTCATAGGCATCATCCTGGTCCCTCAGGCCATCGCCTACTGTCTGCTGGCCGGAGTAGACCCCATCTATGGCCTCTACACTTCCTTCTTCGCCAACATCATCTACTTCTTCATGGGGACCTCCAGGCACGTGTCTGTGGGCATCTTCAGTCTGATGAGCCTTATGGTGGGCCAGGTGGTGGACAGAGAGGTGTATATGGCAGGGTTTGATTTGGATGACACCAAAACAGATGGAATCTTGAATGTGACAGGAGACTCAGACAGCTCAGCAGTCAACCTGACCATGGGGGCCTTCGGCATGGAATGTGGGAAAGAATGTTATGCCATCAGTATCGCAGCAGCCATGACGTTTTTGGCTGGGATTTACCAGGTACAATTTCAATTCAACCACTCTGATTCAGCACTCTCAAAACTGCTTTAAACATTTTGTGAAACAGAAGTAACGATTACTCCTGAAATTATTTGACTTGATTAAACACTCATGTCATAAACATTTATATATCACCTACAGATGTAGGATCTTAATTTGAACCATATTTCCAAAGCAGAAAATAAATCCTGCAGCAACAGGAAATAATTATGTAGATTATAATTAATGGGAATTTATTGTAGGATTTGATCAATTCTTTGTTAGGGCAAATCAAGTCTGACATTTTTACGTGGAAGTTACAAACTTTAGAAGCCTTTTATAGCCTTGAATACAAGTTTGCATTTCCTGCTGTACAGGAAAGTTCTCAGCAACAAAAGAGTGATCAAACTAAGATCCTACATCTGTACATCAAAGATGACTGTGCTGAATATATTGACCTTCAGATTAGTTGAAATGACCTATCTGATAAAAATGGTTGTGTCCTTCCAGGTATTGATGGCTGTGTTCAGACTGGGCTTTGTCTCCGTCTATCTCTCTGCTCCCATGCTGGACGGCTTCGCCACCGGTGCCTCGTTCACCATCCTCACCGTCCAAGCCAAGTACCTCCTGGGGCTCAAGATCCCTCGCCACCAGGGCTACGGAACTGTGGTGGTCACCTGGATCCACATCTTCAGCAACATCCAGAATACCAACTACTGTGACCTCATCACCAGTGCCATCTGCATCTCTGTCCTGGTGGCGGGGAAGGAGCTCCAAGAGCGCTACAAGGACCGTCTTAAGATCCCCCTGCCCACAGAGCTGGTGGTAGTGGTGATCGCTACACTGGCGTCCCACTTTGGAGACTTTCATGGATGGTACGACTCCAATGTCTCTGGGGCTATCCCCACAGGCTTCATCCCCCCTAAGGTGCCCAGTTTTGGGTTGATGCCCCGGGTGGCCTTCGACGCCATCCTACTGGCTGTGATCAGCTTTGCCTTCACGGTTTCCCTCTCTGAGATGTTTGCCAAGAAGAACGGCTACACCGTCCGCCCCAACCAGGAGATGATGGCCATTGGTTTCTGTAACATCATCCCTTCTTTCTTCCACTGTTTCACCACCAGCGCTGCCCTGGCTAAGACTATGGTGAAAGACTCCACAGGCTGCCAGACTCAGGTCTCCAGCATTGTGAGTGCCTTTGTCGTTCTCCTGGTCCTGCTCTTCTTTGCCCCCCTATTTTACTCCCTCCAGAAGTGCGTCCTGGCCTGTATCATCATCGTCAGCCTGAGGGGCGCTCTCCGTAAGTTCAGAGACGTGCCCAGTATGTGGCGCGTCAGTAAGATGGATGCTGTCGTCTGGATGGTGACGATGAGCGCCTCAGCTCTGATCAGTGTGGAGATGGGGCTGGTGGTTGGGGTAGTTTTCTCTATGCTCTGTATCATCGTCCAGACCCAGAAGCCCAAGGTTTCTCTGCTGGGACAGATCCATGACACTACCCACTACGAGGATATGGAGGAGTATGAAAACCTAATGTCTCTCCCTAAAGTGAAGATCTTCCGCTTCCAGGCCCCGCTGTACTATGCAAACAAGGACTTCTTCCTGAAGTCGCTGTACAAAGCCGTGGGCGTGAAACCCTTCCTGGAGATGACCAGGAGGAGGAAAGCAGAGAAAAAAGTGGAAACACTGGCAGCGAAGGAGGCTGGGAGAGCCGACAAGACTAACGGAGAGGTGAAGGTAGGGTTGGGGTCCAGAGAACTTGACTTCCACACGATTATCCTAGACTGCTCTGCCATGCCCTTCATAGACTCAACAGGGATGCAAACCTTCAAAGGGATCATTAAAGACTATAAGGAGGTGGGTGTCACAGTGCTGCTAGCGAGCTGTAACACCACGGTCATAGATTCTCTCAGACAAGGTTCTTTCTTTGGGAAGGCTGACAAAGACATGGAAAATGTGTCATTCTGTACTGTACATGCTGCAGTTCAATTTGCCAATGACAGGACATCATCTACATCAGAGCTCTCCAACCCTGTTCCTCGAGAGCTACCGTCCTGTAGGTTTTCGATCCAACCCTAATCTAGCACAGTTGCTAGTTGATAAACTGAGTCAAGTTAGTTAAAACTGGGGTTGGAGTAAAAATCTACAGGAGGGTAGCTCTCTAGGAACAGGGTTGAAGAACCCCGATCTACATCCATTGGTGCCGCACAGGAGGTTGGTGGCACCTTAATTGTGGAGTTCGGGCTCGTGGTAAGGCTGGAGCGGAAAAGGTGGAAGTCTATCAAATACATCAAACACATGGTTTCCATGGTTTCCAGGTGTTTGATGACATTCCAATTGTTCCGTTCCAGACATTATTATGAGCCGTCCTCCACTCAGCAGCCTCCACTGGACCAGAACCATATACTGTATATCCAAATAAATGGAAATTTAACTAAATGGCTCTGGTGTAGACTGAGACAGAAGAACACGTTTTTTTTTTACGTGAGGGAGAATGAGTAGTTGAAGAGTTAAATAGTGCGTTTATGCAAGATAATGAAAGGTAAAGTGAGCAAACAGGTCCCGTGTAGCTCAGCTGGTAAAGCATGGCGTTTGCAGCACCAGGGTTGTGGGTTCGTTTCCCACAGGGGGCCAGTATGAATTTTTTTTTTTTTAAATAATAATTGTATGCACTCACTCTGGATAAGAGCGTCTGCTAAATGACTAAAATTGAATTTTTCTCCTCACTTAGAGGCATCAAAACATTATTTTTTTATATTTTAATAGATTAATACGCTGATTAAGAATCCTGAAATTGAATAATGCCAAAAGGGAAGCATTTGGAAGGAGATTTTACTTGACTCCTCAATCAATACATAGCCTACAGCTACAGTTAACGTTATAGGAACCTATTGAACTTTTCAACAACAAAATATTCCCTTAATGTTATACTTGAATTATAAGACAAGCAAGCTTTTGTACAGTGATGACCATGTGTCAGTGATACTGTTAATGCGCTGGATGTTTTATAGGGGATTTATGATTGACCATCCAATTAATAATCAAGGGAGTATCAATCTATTTTATGTTACATTTTGAGTTTGACAAGGCCAGATTCGCCATAACATAGTACATTTCGACTTCACAATTTATTTTGTAAAACACAACCTCTGGTTACTAATCCAATATGTTACCTCAAGATTTACAACATTAGTTGAAGTTTCAGATTAACATTTGAAGTTTGGAATCTTATCAAATAATTGTTAAATTCCTATTTAATAATATTTGTTAAAATCTGTACATTTGAGTTACCAATAGAAACAATAATTGTGTATATTTATACAGTATCTTGAAATCCATGGTTTAATAAACTACAATACATTGTGTAACTTAAATGACTAATGATTTTGAAACTGTGAAGTTATAATGAATGCCATTTTCAGCACACGGTATGTCAATTATTAACTAGCAAAATAACATGTAGCATTGTAACATTTTGTCTGTGCTCAGCCATATACAGCCTAGGCCTACTACTTTGTTGAATCATTTCACAATTTGCTGCATCGGTATGACATAAAGAACCGTTTACTATGGGCATTGGCATGCATTTTGGTGACTTTTCCTATTGCAGGTTCAAACATCTGTCCAGAATATTACAGACATTGATTACAATGTGATCTTTCCTGACTGTTTATTAAAAATGTATTGAATGCACTGTCTAATGTGTCCATCTAATCAGCAATAGCTGGCTACAGTATTTTGACTTACTACATTCAGTACTGAAGTGAAACTGCAATGTAGCTTACTATCCACTTGATGGAGGCAGAGAGCCCCTCTAAACAAAAGACGAAAGGGGGAGTGTCATTAGTGACTGAATAGCCAATCACAGCCCTTCTTGAACAAGGAAACCATTTTTGAATTTTTAGCACAAACAGCTGAAAAGGCGCTATTGCTTCGGCGCCACTATATTGACAATTCAAATCAGCCAGCCATCCACACGTGTTTTTGATTTAATGTCAAACATTTATATTCGTCAATAGCTACCTAGTTTTCGGAGCAGCTATGTCAAGCCGGAGGAGGTAAGTTGACTTGGTTTGCTAGCTAAAGTGACTATCATTAGCCAGGCTAGAACGAGTTAACGTTAGCTTTACTTGTTAGGAGTATCTCTAGTTAAGTTAGCTGTAGCAATGTGTGAATAAAATTAGAAGTAGCTACCACAATACAAAAAGCTAATGGCATTGCAGGGATAGGGGAAAGTTTCATACTAACCAGACTGATACTGACAATGACTATAGTAGGCTAGTTAAATTAGGTTATGCCGCGTTCAAAACAACTGGGAACTCGTAAATCTCAGACTTTAATGCGTCCAAGGCAATTGGGAACTCGAGAAAAAAAGAGCTCCGACTGGGAAATAGTTTAATGGTCATCTAACTCAGAATTCCAACTCGGCCTCTTTCTAGAGCTCCGACTTTCCGAACTGAAGATCACTGACGTCATGATTTTACCACGTATTTTTCTGTGTTCCCAGTTGTCTTGAACGCACCAATAGTTACAAGCAAACGTTGTTTGCTAGTTCAGGGGTGTATTCATTACAGAAAACGTTTACCGTTTAAGGACCAAACGGAAGCAAACTACATTTTTACATTTTAGTCATTTAGCAGACGCTCTTATCCAGAGCGACTTAGTTAGACTAAACTAACTTATTGGACAAATTCAGGTCCCTCACCGTTTCGTTTGCTTCCGTTTTAAGAAATGTTTTGCAACAGAATAGGCGCAATGAAAACACCCCTGGTCCAGAGCTTGACGTGCGGCACGAGGAGTCTTCAACGCCCTTTATCGTTACATTCATCCCCACATCACACATTTTCATTAGTGACTGGCTTTAACACACTTTTTGTTAATCATTAAAGTAAAGATGCTGCTGAGTACTGACGAACTTTTCTCTGCTAGAACCAGCAGATTAACGTGATCTCCCGAGTCCATGTTTATGCGTCATAGTACAGATCCAACACATGGACCAGAACTAGTGAGGCCCACCCAGGAGGGGGTCAACACTAATTACCACAGCCCAAAGAGAATGATATAGGTCTCTCTAGTGGCCAAAAGGCATCATTAGCATGGGCTGCGCCATTGAGGGCTTCCACCGTTGTAATGTAGTCAACTGGGTGGCACTTCCAACTTCATTGGCTGATCCCTCCTGGTGACCCTATTCGAGCCATTTCCAACCGGGTCATCAGGAGGGATCAGGCAATCGTGAAGAAGAAAAAGCCTCAATGGCGCCGAAGATTTTTATAACTACCCCAAGATGGACCACAGCCTGTCGTTTCCAATGGGAACAAATGAGTCCTAGTGGGCACAACAAGCAAGGAGGGGGGCAGTGCACGAGCTAGCGAGATCCTATTGGGCATTCTAGTATGTATTTGCATATTGCCATTAGGGAATGCCTACTCTGTGAAATCCATCTCGCTCAATCTTCTCCTACTGCCGACCACTGGGCTTCCTCTCATCACCATATTTGGTAGTGAGAGGAAAACGCCAACCAGATGCTTCACATTTATACATCCGGTGAAATATCTGGCTCATTGTTCTATCTGTGATGGTGCTGCCCATGCTGTCACAGACACTATAATGGCACGGATACAAAGATGAGTCCTCTATCTCAATGCCACGTCCACAAAGTCATAATTATGGCTAAACCCTGCCTATTTCTACAATTTATCTAATTAAAATTTGATTTTAACATGAACCACACTGCTAACCTTATGCCTAACCTTAAATTAAGACCAAAAAGCAAATTTTAGTTTTCATGGATTTTAATAATATAGTCAATTTTGGCTGTGGTAACTAGTGACAACCCGGTGAAAACCCAATCTGCGCCGTTCGGTTATGTTGTCAACAAGGATAAAGGGAGTGCTCCTAATCTCAGTTTGTTACCTGTATAAAAGACACCTGTCCACAGAAGCAATCAATCAGATTCCAAACTCTCCACCATGGCCAAGACCAAAGAGCTCTCCAAGGATGTCAGGGACAAGATTGTAGACCTACACAAGGCTGGAATGGGCTACAAGACCATCGCCAAGCAGCTTGGTGAGAAGGTGACAACAGTTGGTGCGATTATTCACAAATGGAAGAAACACAAAATAACTGTCAATCTCCCTCGGCCTGGGGCTACATGCAAGATCTCACCTTGTGGAGTTGCAATGATCATGAGAACGGTGAGGAATCAGGCCAGAACTACACGGGAGGATCTTGTCAATGATCTTAAGGCAGCTGGGACCATAGTCACCAAGAAAACAATTGGTAACACACTACGCCGTGAAGGACTGAAATCCTGCAGCGCCCACAAGGTCCCCCTGCTCAAGAAAGCACATATACATGCCTGTCTGAAGTTTGCCAATGAACATCTGAATGATTCAGAGGAGAACTGGGTGAAAGTGTTGTGGTCAGATGAGACCAAAATGGAGCTCTTTGGCATCAACTCAACTCGCCGTGTTTGGAGGAGGAGGAATGCTGCCTATGACCCCAAGAACACCATCCCCACCGTCAAACATGGAGGTGGAAACATTATGCTTTGGGGGTGTTTTTCTGCTAAGGGGACAGGACAACTTCACCGCATCAAAGGGACTATGGACGGGGCCATGTACCGTCAAATCTTGGGTGAGAACCTCCTTCCCTCAGCCAGGGTATTGAAAATGGGTCGTGGATGGGTATTCCAGCATGACAATGACCCAAAACACACGGCCAAGGCAACAAATGAGTGGCTCAAGAAGAAGCACATTAAGGTCCTGGAGTGGCCTAGCCAGTCTCCAGACCTTAATACCATAGAAAATCTGTGGAGGGAGCTGAAGGTTCGAGTTGCCAAACGTCAGCCTCAACCTTAATGACTTGGAGAAGATCTGAAAAGAGGAGTGGAACAAAATCCCTCCTGAGATGTGTGCAAACCTGGTGGCCAACTACAAGAAACGTCTGACCTATGTGATTGCCAACAAGTGTTTTGCCACCAAGTACTAAGTCATGTTTTGCAGAGGGGTCAAATACTTATTTCCCTCATTAAAATGCAAATCAATTTATAACATTTTTGACATGCGTTTTTCTGGATTTTTTTGTTATTCTGTCTCTCACTGTTCAAATAAACCTACCATTAAAATTATAGACTGATCATTTCTTTGTCAGTGGGCAAACGTACAAAATCAGCAGGGGATCAAATACTTTTTTCCCTCACTGTACAACTCCTTTCCATAAAGTATATATTCACATTTGCAAACTAGATTTCATTGGAAAGGCAGAGCGTTTTCATCAAAAGCAATCACTTTTGCATGTGAAAACACAGACTCGTACTCTTTACTCCACGTGCTTAATCTCACTTTTGTTTTGAGCCAACTTCGCCAATGAATGCAATCACTTTTCACCCATTGCAAACTACATCTGCCCGGGCCAGGGGTGTATTCATTATGCCGATTCTGTTAAACGTTTTGTCTGTTGAACGCGGTTGGGTTCTTAAACGGAAGTTGTAGTACATTTTAATTATATGGTTTCCACGCTTGCCATTTCAATCTGAATAGTCTGCGACGTGTTTGAGACAAAATATCCACAGGAAAATGTTATTAAACAGACAACCGCGGATCTCTGTGTGGCAGTCAATACTTGTTTGCTCATCGGCTAAGGCACATGCACAAGACGGAAGTACATGCACAGGATGCATGCATGCAACAGAAGTCTTGCAGGTGTTTGCATGGTATACGCATGTGACAGATATCTCAACGCCAGTACCGGCGCTCTAAAAATTCAGCTAAACAACACTTTCCTGTGGATATTTTGACCAGCTGAAGGACCAACCGCAAAGACAACCAGTAGAGTAAGTGCAAATGTAATTTTATACAACATTCTGGCTTATAAGGAAACTTTCCAAGTTTTTGTAGTGCTTGGTGTGACTGTATACCAATAATTGGTATCATAGCCAATTAATTAGGTAATGACATCTTTTCACACTCTTGGCATTCTCTCAACCAGCTTCACCTGGAATGCTTTTCCAACAGTCTTGAAGGAGTTCCCACATATGCTGAGCACTTGTTGGCTGCTTTTCCTTCACTCTGCCGTCCGACTCATCCCAAACCATCTCAATTGGGTTGATGTCAGGTGATTGTGGAGGCCAGGTCATCTGATGCAGCACTCCATCACTCTCCTTCTTGGTCAAATAGCCCTTACACAGCCTGGAGGTGTGTTGGGTCATTGTCCTGTTGAAATTATAGTCCCACTAAGCCCAAACCAGATGGGATGGCGTATCGCTGCAGAATGCTGTGGTAGGCATGCTGGTTAAGTGTGCCTTGAATTCTAAATAAATCACAGACAGTGTCACCAGCAAAGCACCCCCACACCATAACACCTAATTCTCCATGTTTTACGGTGGGAACTACACATGCAGAGATCATCCATTCACCCACACCGCGTCTCACAAAGACAACGGCAGTTGGAACCAAACATCTCTAATTTGGACTCCAGACCAGAGGACACATTTCCACCGGTCTAATGTCCATTGCTCGTGTTTTTTGTCCCAAGCATGTCTCTTCTTCTTATTGGTGTCCTTTAGTAGTGGTTGCTTTGCAGCAATGGGACCATGAAGGCCTGATTCACACAGTCCCCTCTGAACAGTTGATGTTGATGTCTTTATTTTATTTTTTACCTGTAATTTGTTTAGTTTTTTTAGGGGCTAGATCAGCTTTAATATTGCAGATGTATACTATATACATTACTTGAACTCTGTGAAGCATTTATTTGGGCTGCAATTTTTTAGGCTGGTAACTCTAATGAACTTATCCTCTGCAGCAGAGGTAACTCTGGGTCTTCCATTCCTGTGGCAGTCCTCATGGGAGCCAGTTTCATCATAGCGCTTGATGGTTTTGCGACTGCACTTGAAGAAACTTTCAGAGTCCTTGAGATTTTCCGTATTGACTGACCTTCATGTCTTACAGTAATGATGGACTGTCGCTTCTCTTTGCTTATTTGAGCTGTTCTTGCCATAATATGGACTTTGCCTTTTACCAAATAGGGCTATCTTCTGTATACCCCCCCTATCTTATCACAACACAACACAACTGATGTAGCTCAATTGGTAGAGCATGGCGCTTGTAACGCCAGGGTAGTGGGTTCGATCCCCGGGACCACCCATAGGTAAAAAATGTATGCACTCATGACTGTAAGTCGCGTTGGATAAAAGCGTCTGCGAAATGGCATATTATTATAAGAATGAAAGAAATTCCACAAATTAACTTAAGAAGGCACACCTGTTAATTGAAATGCATTCCAGGTGACCATCTCATGAAGCTGGTTGAGAGAATTTCAAGAGTGTGCAAAGCTGTCATCAAGGCAAAGGGTGGCTATTTGAAGAATCTCAAATATACACTGCTCAAAAAAATAAAGGGAACACTTAAACAACACATTGTAACTCAAAGTCAATCACACTTCTGTGAAATCAAACTGTCCACTTAGGAAGCAACACTGATTGACAATACATTTCACATGCTGTTGTGCAAATGGAATAGACAACAGGTGGAAATTATAGGCAATTAGCAAGACACCCCCAATAAAGAAGTGGTTCTGCAGGTTGTGACCACAGACCACTTCTCAGTTCCTATGCTTCCTGGCTGATGTTTTGGTCACTTTTGAATGCTGGCGGTGCTTTCACTCTAGTGGTAACATGAGACAGAGTCTACAACCCACACAAGTGGCTCAGGTAGTGCAGCTCATCCAGGATGGCACATCAATGCGAGCTGTGGCAAGAAGGTTTGCTGTGTCTGTCAGCGTAGTGTCCAGAGCATGGAGGCGCTACCAGGAGACAGGCCAGTACATCAGGAGACGTGGAGGAGGCCGTAGGAGGGCAACAACCCAGCAGCAGGACCGCTACCTCCGCCTTTGTGCAAGGAGGAGCAGGAGGAGCACTGCCAGAGCCCTGCAAAATGACCTCCAGCAGGCCACAAATTTGCATGTGTCTGCTCAAACGGTCAGAAACAGACTCCATGAGGGTGGTATGAGGGCCCGACGTCCACAGGTGGGGGTTGTGCTTACAGCCCAACACCGTGCAGGACGTTTGGCATTTGCCAGAGGACACCAAGATTGGCAAATTCGCCACTGGCGCCCTGTGCTCTTCACAGATGAAAGCAGGTTCACACTGAGCACATGTGACAGAGTCTGGAGACGCCGTGGAGAACGTTCTGCTGCCTGCAACATCCTCCAGCATGACCAGTTTGGCGGTGGGTCAGTCATGGTGTGGGGTGGCATTTCTTTGGGGGGACCGCACAGCCCTCCATGTGCTCGCCAGAGGTAGCCTGACTGCCATTAGGTACCGAGATGAGATCCCCAGACCCCTTGTGAGACCATATGCTGGTGCGGTTGGCCCTGGGTTCCTCCTAATCCAAGACGATGCTAGACCTCATGTGGCTGGAGTGTGTCAGCAGTTCCTGCAAGAGGGAGGCATTGATGCTATGGACTGGCCCGCCCGTTCCCCAGACCTGAATCCAATTGAGCACATCTGGGACATCATGTCTCGCTCCATCCACCAACGCCACATTGCACCACAGACTGTCCAGGAGTTGGCGGATGCTTTAGTCCAGGTCTGGGAGGAGATCCCTCAGGAGACCATCCACCACCTCATCAGGAGCATGCCCAGGCGTTGTAGGGAGGTCATACAGGCACGTGGAGGCCACACACACTACTGAGCCTCATTTTGACTTGTTTTAAGGATATTACATCAATGTTGGATCAGCCTGTAGTATGGTTTTCCACTTTAATTTTGAGGGTGACTCCAAATCCAGACCTCCATGGGTTGATAAATTTGATTTCCATTGATAATTTTTGTGTGATTTTGTTGTCAGCACATTCAACTATGTAAAGAAAAAAGTATTTAATAAGATTTTCATTCATTCAGATCTAGGATGTGTTGTTTAAGTGTTCCCTTTATTTTTTTGAGCAGTGTATTTTTATTTGTTTAACACTTTATTGGTTACTACATGATTCCATATGTGTTATTTCATAGTTTTGATGTCTTCACTATTATTCTATGATGTAAAAAAAAATGTGAAAAATAAAGAAAAACCCTTGAATGAGTAGGTGTGTCCAAACTTTTGACTGGTAGTATATGATAATTATTTTATTTTTTACCAAAAAAATATGGGGGATTGGAAATGATGCAGACAATTACATTGATGGAAGCCACAATCTATCTGCAATATTAAAGCTGATCTACCCCCTAAAAAAAAAAGTAATAGTTTTGCAGTGCTTGGTTTCAAACTGTATACCAATAATTGGTATCATAGTCAGATTTATTAGGCAATGTGTTTGCTAGCTGGCTACCTAGCCAGCTGAAGTTACCAAATGTGATTGTCTTGTCACTCATCTCTGCAGTGAAGCCCTGGCTTTCTCGCTAGTGACTGGTATAAACCATGCCATGGCCAGGCTGGTGGACATATGGGACAGCATGGGCATCATGGAGGAGCAGAGGGTAGAGCGGATGGAGACGGTGAAGAAACACATTGAGGTGAGGCTTTAGAAAACAGGAAATGCAGATTAACTGAAAATGAAACGGAAGCCTTGTCAACTAACTAACTAAGACTTGATATGACATTCCTTTCCTAATCTAAAGGGCCTTTTGAATGACATGATCACAGAGGAGGAAGCTTTGAAGCACCGCATCCGAACCAATATCATCACTTTTGAAAAACAGTTGGTTACCTTGTGTTTGGAAATGTCAATGGATCCATACAAAGTAAGTGGTACTTTTTTCAGGCTTAACAACAGCAGTAAAGGTCGGCCTTTAAAGGGGTTGTGTCGCAATAGTTTAGCGGCTTCCACCCCTTGACTCGTTTCCTTCCTTTGTGCTAACCTCCTGTCTCCATCTTGTCCACCTGTCAGTTGGAGGAGGGTCTGACAGTCCTCCAGATGGAGAAGAACCTGCGTCTGCGTGTGGAGGTTCTGACCAAGGAGAAGGGGGAGCGTTTGAAGGAGCTACACGGACTGCAGCAGCAGGATAAGGAGCTGTGCGTGGAGCTGTGCGTCACGCCCTATTATGTCCCGACTGGCAGCATGCCATCACGCACACAGCTGCAGGAGCTCCGGGAGCACCTCAAGACCCTCACTGAAGAAAAGGTATTGCAATACTGTTTGGTGTGAATGTCATGAATACCTGACTCAAGTATTACTAAGCACACATTATTCATTTGTCTTCTTTTAAGTCTTTTTTTTTTGTATTTTGTTGAAAGCATCTCATCTCTTGTCCCTCCCTCCCTTCCCCTGTTCTGTAGAAGAGTCGTGCAAAGGTGTTCTCAGGGCTGCGTGAGGACATCAGGCAGCTCATGGAGGACATGGGTCATGAACCAGAAACCAGTCTGGAGAAAGAGTCGGTGTGTCACAACGAGGAGATATTCCTGCTCACGCATGAAAACATCAAAGCCCTCCAACTGCTGTTGTCCCAGGTACTGAAAATAATTTGATAAAACCTACAAATGATTACTCAAAGATTTTTGGTGTTTTGGTTCCAGGACTTTTGACCTATTATATGTGTATAATTTTTTTAGATGGAGGTCAAGAAGGACTCCCTGATGAATACTCTGGCTGAGCTGAAAGAACGAGCCATGTGCCTGTGGAATCGTCTGGAAGCGCTAGAGCAGGATCGCACTGCGTTCCAGGAGAGCGTGCAGGGTACCCTTTCTGACCAAATCACACAGGTTGGAACTGACTCCTCCTTTATACCTCTCCTTCACCACTGTATTGGACGAAGCTTCACCGGCATACCACACACCACTGTGTTGGACGAAGCTTCACCGACATACCACACACCACTGTGTTGGACGAAGCTTCACCGACATACCACACACCACTGTGTTGGACGAAGCTTCACCGGCATACCACACACCACTGTGTTGGACGAAGCTTCACCGGCATACCACACACCACTGTGTTGGACGAAGCTTCACCTGCATACCACACACCATTGTGCAAAACAGTAAACATGGCACCATAACTATTATGTTTCCCCAGAATTGGCTAACAATGGAACAGAACAGAGAATACCTCTACAATGGTGCTAGCACACCACAGTGTTTGAGACGGTCCTGAATCTGCTAGTGTTCATTAGGGCAGTGTATACCAACTCCAGTCCTCCATTACCCCCAACAGCACACATTTTTGTTGTAGTCCAGGACCAGCACACCCAAATCAACTTGTCAGCCCTCAATGAGTTGAATCAGGTGAGTTTGTCCGGAGCTACAACAAAAATGTGTGTTGTTGGGGGTACTGGAGGACCGAAGTTGGGAAACACTGACTTAGTGAATACCATTGGTGTTTAATATGAGGGTTTCAGGACTGGGGTTGGGAAACACTGCATTAGGGCATACAGAAAATGAAATGTGTTTCTTAATGAACGAGTTCAGTTGGTACCTCCTCGTGTCACTGTTTCTGAGCTTTGCCTTTATTTTTCTTCCTACTGAACCTGACCCTGTTGTCCCATCCAGTGGCAGGGGGAGGTGGACCGTCTGACAGTTCTGCAGAAAGCCATGCTGGAGGATGTGATTGACAAGGTCCGACAGGAACTAGTGGCTCTCTGGGACAAGTGCAACCAGGGCCCTGAGCAGAGTGAAACCTTCAATGCCCACTTCTGTGACGGTGGGTAGAACAATGCTGGAAATACTTATTCTCTCACTCACACGCAAAACACATACATACTGATCGAACCGATCCGTCTTTCCCTAGATGACTTCACAGAGGAATTGTTGGCGCTGCATGATGCCGAGCTATTGAAGATTAATAATTACTACGACCAGGCTAAACCCTTACTGGAGGTCCTGGAGAAATGGGAGAAGTACTGGGCCCTCTTCCAGGACTTTGAGGTAATGCTGGAATTTGCGGTCAAGTTATGTTTATGAAATTAATTGCAAATATATTTTTAAATTGTGCACCGCTTGATGCATGTAATGTGTTTTTGATTGAAAACCATAAGAAATATCCACAGTAGATACTAGCTGCTCTTATTTCTGATACATGTTCAGTGTGGTGCAGAATTTCTTAATTCTTATGTCATTTGACATAGAAAACGTGTCATCTAATTTTTAAACCTCTCTTTGCAGAAAAAGGCCAATGATCCAAACCGCTTCTCCAACAGAGGAGGAGCCCTTCTCAAAGAGGCCAAAGAGAGGGTCAAAGTTCAGAAGATGTTGCCAAAGGTAAGGCTGGATTTGATGCATCAACATGTCCGTCTATAACCTTATATGGCAGTTGGAGGAAGGGGGAGATAAAAAAATAAAATAAAGTAGGGCTGTTGTACACGTTGATCCAGAGCATCCCAAACATGCTCAATGGGTGACATGTCTGAGAATGCAGGCCATGGAAGAACTGGGACATTTTCAACTTCCAGGAATTGTGTACAGATCCTTGTGACATTGGGTCGTGCATTATCATGCTGAAACATGAGGTGATGGCGGCGGATGGATGGCACCACAATGGGCCTCAGATCAAGTCACGGTATAGCTGTGCGTTCAAATTGCCATCAATAAAATGCTATTGTGTTCGTTCTCCGTAGCTTATCCCTGCCAATAACATAGCCCCACCGCCACCATGGGGCACTCTGTTCACAACATTGACATAAGAAAACTGCTTGCCCACACGTCTGTGGTTGAGGCCGGTTGGATGTACTGCCAAATTCTCTAAAACATTCTTGCAGTCAGCATGCCAATTGCACGCTGCCTCAACTTGAGACATCTGTGGCATTGTATTGTGTGACAAAACTGCGAACTTGTATTGTCCCCAGCACAATGTGCACCTGTGTAAGGATCATGATGTTTAATCAGCTTCTTGATATGCCACACCTGTCAAGTGGATGGATTATCTTGGCAAAGGAGAAATGCTCACTAACAGGGATGTAAACAAATTTGTGCACAATTTGAGAGAAATAAGCTTTTTGTGCGAATGGAACATTTCTGCGATCCTTTATTTCAGCTCATGAAACATGGGATCAACACTTTACATGTTGCGTTTATATTTTTGTTCTGTGTATATATATATTTTTGAAATATAATGTACATTTAAAATGTAATGTCTATGAAAAGTGGCAGCAATATGGTTGATGGTAATCAAAAGATCACCGCCTCCTGCTGAGATGAGGCAATTGAGCGTTTAATCAGCATGGCTTCTTTTCACAACCGCTCACTTGGAGCATCCAATGTGCAGTTTATTCAAGGTCAAATCTCACCACACTGTATGCTGCTACCCCACTGTATGCTGAGTATATGATGGCGTCAGTGAGGTTGAGACCTTGTGTAAAATGCCAATTACATATACAGTTTAAATGCCAGTGAAGTGTATATAAAGGCTTTTGACAAAGGAAAAGTGATGTTGATCCTCCCTGTTATGTGATCTGCCTAGTTGGAGGAAGAGCTGAAGATGGGTGTTGAGAGCTGGGAGAAGGACCAGGGTTCTGCCTTCCTGGTCCAGGGCCAGAGAGTCATGACCTACATCTCCAGCCAATGGGAGGAGCACAAACAGCAGAGGGGCAAGGAGAAGAGTGAACGTGCCGCTGTAAGTCCAGCCCCTCCTAATGCTCTCCCATTGACCCAGCAGTGTTCCCCAGTCAGCCCAGTAATGGTCCATAGAGGCTTCAGGGGGGGTTCTTTACAAACTACATTTACATTTACATTTTAGTCATTTAGCAGACGCTCTTAACCAGAGCGACTTACAGGAGCAATTAGGGTTAAGTGCCTTGCTCAAGGGCACATTAACGTCATTTAGCAGACGCTCTTAGCCAGAGCGACTCACAAATTGGTGCGTTCACCCTATAGCCAGTGGGATAACCACTTTACAATTTGGGGGGGGGGGGGGGGGGGGGGGTTAGAAGGAATACTTTAGCCTATCCCAGGTATTCCTTAAAGAGGTGGGGTTTCAAATGTCTCCGGAAGGTGGTGAGTGACTCCGCTGTCCTGGCGTCGTGAGGGAGCTTGTTCCACCATTGGGGTGCCAGAGCAGCGAACAGTTTTGACTGGGCTGAGGGGGAGCTGTGCTTCCGCAGAGGAAGGGGAGCCAGCAGGCCAGAGGTGGATGAACGCAATGTCCTCGTTTGGGTGTAGGGACTGATCAGAGCCTGAAGGTACAGGGGTGCCGTTCCCCTCACTGCTCCAAAGGCAAGCACCATGGTCTTGTAGCGGATGCGAGCTTCAATTGGAAGCCAGTGGAGTGTGCGGAGGAGGGGGGTGACGTGAGAGAACTTGGGAAGGTTGAACACCAGACGGGCTGCGGCATTCTGGATGAGTTGTAGGGGTTTAATGGCACAGGCAGGGAGCCCAGCCAACAGCGAGTTGCAGTAGTCCAGACGGGAGATGACAAGTGCCTGGACCAGGACCTGCGCCGCTTCCTGTGTAAGGCAGGGTCGCACTCTCCGAATGTTGTAGAGCATGAACCTGCAGGAGCGGGTCACCGCCTTGATGTTGGCGGAGAACGACAGGGTGTTGTCCAGGGTCACGCCTAGGCTCTTCGCACTCTGGGAGGAGGACACAGCGGAGTTGTCTACCGTGATGGCGAGATCATGGAACGGGCAGTCCTTCCCGGGGAGGAAGAGCAGCTCCGTCTTGCCAGGGTTCAGCTTGAGGTGGTGATCCGTCATCCATACTGATATGTCTGCCAGACATACAGAGATGCGATTCGCCACCTGGTGATCAGAAGGGGGAAAGGAGAAGATTAGTTGTGTATCGTCAGCGTAGCAATGATAGGAAAGGCCATGTGAGGATATGACAGAGCCAAGTGACTTGGTGTATAGGGAGAAAAGGAGAGGGCCCAAAACCGATCCCTGGGGGACACCAGTGGTGAGAGCACGTGGTGCGGAGACAGCTTCCCGCCACGCCACTTGGTAGGAGCGACCGGTCAGGTAGGACGCAATCCAGGAGTGAGCCGCGCCGGAGATGCCCATTTCGGAGAGGGTGGAGAGGAGGATCTGATGGTTCACAGTATCAAAGGCAGCAGACAGATCTAGAAGGACAAGAGCAGAGGAGAGAGAGTTAGCTTTAGCAGTGCGGAGAGTCTCTGTGACACAGAGAAGAGCAGTCTCAGTTGAATGACCAGTCCTGAAACCTGATTGGTTTGGATCAAGAAGGTCATTCTGAGAGAGATAGCAAGAGAGTTGGCTAAAGACGGCACGCTCAATAGTTTTGGAAAGAAAAGAAAGAAGGGATACTGGTCTGTAGTTGTTGACATCAGTGGGGTCGAGTGTTGGTTTTTTGAGAAGGGGAGTAACTCTCGCTCTCTTGAAGACGGAAGGGACATGGCCAGCGGTCAAGGATGAGTTGATCAGCGAGGTGAGGTAGGGGAGAAGGTCACCGGAGATGGTCTGGAGAAGGGAGGAGGGGATGGGGTCAAGCGGGCAGGTTGTTGGGCGGCCTGCAGTCACAAGTCGCAGGATCTTATCTGGAGAGAGAGGGGAGAAAGAAGTCAAAGCATAGGGTAGGGCAGTGTGAGCAGGACCAGCAGTGTCATTAGGCTTAACAAACAAGGATCGGATGTCGTCAACCTTCTTTTCAAAGTGGTTGACGAAGTCATCCACAGAGAGAGAGGAGGGGGGGGAGGGGGGGGGGGGAGGATTCAGGAGGGAGGAAAATGTGGCAAAGAGCTTCCTAGGGTTAGAGGCAGATGCTTGGAATTTAGAGTGGTAGAAGGTGGCCTTAGCAGCAGAAACAGATGAAGAAAATGTAGAGAGGAGGGAGTGAAAAGATGCCAGGTCGGCAGGGAATTTAGTTTTCTTCCATTTCCGCTCCGCTGCCCGGAGCTCTGTTCTGTGAGCTCGCAATGAGTCATCAAGCCACGGAGCTGGAGGGGAGGACCGAGCCGGCCGTGAGGATAGGGGACACAGAGAGTCAAAGGATGCAGAAAGGGAGGAGAGGAGGGTTGAGGAGGCAGAATCAGGAGATTGGAGGGAGAAGGATTGAGCAGAGGGAAGAGATGATAGGATGGAAGAGGAGAGAGTAGTGGGAGAGAGAGAGCGAAGGTTGCGGCGGCGCATTACCATCTGTGTAGGGGCAGAGTGAGTAGTGTGGGAGGAGAGTGAGAGAGAAAAGGAAACAAAGTAGTGGTCGGAGACTTGGAGGGGAGTTGCAGTGAGATTAGTAGAGGAGCAGCATCTAGTGAAGATGAGGTCAAGCGTATTGCCTGCCTTGTGAGTAGGGGGGGACGGTGAGAGGGTGAGGTCAAAAGAGGAGAGGAGTGGAAAGAAGGAGGCAGAGAGAAATGAGTCAAATGTGGACATAGGGAGGTTGAAATCCCCCAAAACTGTGAGGGGTGAGCCATCCTCAGGGAAGGAACTTATCAAGGCGTCAAGCTCATTGATGAACTCTCCAAGGGAACCTGGAGGGCGATAGATGACAAGGATATTAAGCTTAAATGGGCTAGTGACTGTGACAGCATGGAATTCAAATGAGGAGATAGACAGATGGGTTAGGGGAAAAATTGAGAATGTCCACTTGGGAGAGATGAGGATTCCTGTACCACCACCCCTCTGACCAGATGCTCTCGGGGTATGCGAGAACACATGGTCAGACGAGGAGAGAGCAGTAGGAGTAGCGGTGTTTTCAGTGGTGATCCATGTTTCCGTCAGCGCCAGGAAGTCGAGGGACTGGAGGTTGGCATAGGCTGGGATGAAGTCAGCTTTGTTGGCAGCAGAACGGCAGTTCCAGAGGCTGCCTGCGACCTGGAACTCCACGTGGGTGGTGCGTGCAGGGACCACCAAATTGGAGAGGCAGCAGCCACGCGGTGTGGTCATAAAACCTGATCTCCCTGTTCCCATGTGCAAAAGGCCAATTCTAAAACTTACTGTGCTGAAGTTGGATTAAAATAGACTTGTACACAGTTTGGTGGTCAGCATGTGTAACCGCCGAATGGCAATGGTGGGAAACAGGGATTTGACCATTCTGGGGCACTGTTTGTTATTGACCGGTCTGTGACTGAGGCTTTGTTTGCCTCTGTGTTGCAGACATCAAAGAAGGGGGAAATGATGACTCTCTTCAAAACTCCCACGAAGAGGGCCCATGTAGGGATGAACGCCCCCACCCCCAACAAGATCAGGAAGGTACAGTAACTAGCAGTGGTCCACATAGGGCTAGTTCACTCCCCTCCAAAACCAATTGGTCACTTTACTATTGTCACCAGTCTTGACGTTGACCCCCATTGCTGTCCTTTCAGCAGACTCCTACCCAGCCTACCATGGTGCGGTCCTACAGCTGCAGCTCATCCAGCACCTTCATCAGTGTGCCCAGCAGCAAGCCTCCTATCTCCCAGGTTCAGATGCAGGTACACAAACACAGCACTCATTCAAAACTATGGCCCATCTTTGGTTCTTGTGCTTGCACACATATATCCAACTTGGATGGTCAACATCTTCCATTTTATATAGCTGGACAACTATTAAAACAACCACTAGGTGATGCTGTTATAAAATTTTGCTTATTTGAGCGGTAAGCTATTCGGCCACTTTCCACAGTCTACTTAGGTTTATAAGAAACAATATTGACAGCAAAATCAAAACTTGTCTTTAGAATCTAACTTCTTTCCAAGGTCAATCATTCTGGTCAAGAGATGCAAAAATATAATACTTCAAATGGATTAGCAGAGGCTGCTGGGAGGAAGTACATTTTACATTTTACATTTTAGTCATTTAGGAGCACAGCGCAATAGTCAGGACGCCTCAGGTAGTACAACATAGGGGACACTGTTGAATAGCTACTTGATTCATGTAAGACACCTTTACTATACTCTAATCAGTGTCACCAACCTTTCTGAGTCAAGAAACTTCGGAGTCAAAATGCAAGTTGAGATACCGCTGGCATTCTTTAAAACACTGATTAATGTAGGCCTATGCAACAGAACCAATAACCATTCTGAGGAATGAGGTTTGTGCGTAGGCCATACATTATCACAGCATTGGCTATGCTTGGACTGCCAATCTTGTTCTCTCAGACCTATTTATTAAAAACTCTAGCTTGTGATAACAAATAGATCAGTTGACACTTGCGGGCCAGCTAGCAAAATTAAAATAATAACTTTTAGTGCTATTGATGACAGTTGCGGAGGAAAAGTCTTCTTTCCTCTTAGACTGCCAGAGAGGTGGGACACTGTCTTCACTGTTGGCGAAACGATCGCACCACAAATTTCTGCGCACACTGTTTCTTAACATTTTTGTCATGTTTTAAAGAAATCCATTGGTGGGGTCATGGAAGATGTAATGGTGATGGAATTGGCAGCGCAAGGTGCACTGATTATCAGGTCCGCCGGGTAGGCAGTTTTTCCTTCAGACAAATAGGCTAATGGAGTGTTACACCTGGCGCGCAGGGCTTGAATCAAGTGCACCTACCGCCAGCAGCGCAAGATGAATTCAAAACAATCATAATAGGCGTTCAAGGCTTTATCTTTGGCTTTTCTGCAGAAAGGTTTGGTGATCGATCCAAGTTTACTTCACTGTAAGACCAGCCTTCTACGCTGCTGTCACTGTGTACTTCAATAATCCATTCCATGACACTACTTACTCCTCTAGACTGCTTTTAAAAAAGTGGGCTGGGGGTATATCTGTTATTAAAATATGTATCTTTCATTCCCCCCAGGGTGACCTGTCCAAAAAGACAAATGACGCAGTTTTCAATTCGACAGCAAAGGACCTTTTCTGATTTTCTCACGATGGACCCAATGTTTTAAGAGGTGTGTGTGTGTGTGCAGTTCACCCCTCATAGGTTGTGTTGTGTCCACTTGGCACTCCTCTCCTCTCGTGGCTATACGGCCGGTGTTTGTAATGGTCAGTGAGCATTTCAGGTAATGCAAGCTTCAAGGGACAAGTCTTTGATATCTTGATGTAAATAATTTTTGGTAGTTGCTGTTACTTTGAAATCTGACCAATTTAGCCTTTTGTATAGTAATTCTTATTTTTGACACTCTGTATGGAAGTGAATAGGTCGAAAGGGACTTGTACGTCTTGCACTAGTAAATGTAAATTGCAATTGTATGTGTCAGGTGTGGATGAAACTGTCATAAAGCCATGTTTTCCAGTTATTAATACTCTGCCGTCCAGGGAAGTGATGCACAAGTTTGATACTTTTTTGAAGGTAGAGCCCCTTGGATGTTACATGCAGTACTTTGATATTCCTTATAAATATTTGACTTGTTTATAAATGGCCAGGCTCCACCAGAGGAAGCATCCTGTTTCGATACAGACCTTCCAGCAGAACTACATGCAGCTCTTTCTGTATGTAAATATTGCTCTCTTGAAAATATACTTTTCTTACTGCACATACGGTCTTGACAATGTGTTTTGTCTTGACGTGTGCCTTGTCTTGTCAACGTGCATTTTACTTGGTTTCTTTTATATTTGACCAATTAATAAATATATATATATATTTCAATATGACACCTGTCTTGAGTTTTTATCTACGGTAAATCATAATACACATGAAACCAGAGGAGAGTTTGTCTTTTTTCATATGGGGGAGTGTTCAGTTAGAGCGAGAGTCCTTAAATTGAACCAGGCCCTGTAAACTTGTGGTTATCGAGAATATGAATTCCTCTTCTGCACAGTCAATCCTGGATTGTATCATTGACCTTGAGGTAAAGCACTCCTCTACCTTTGACCGATGAGTGGGATTGTAGAAACCATGTAATTATCATGGATAATCAAGTTAGTCATTTATGAAAAGGGAGAAGAGGCTTTTTGCTGTGTAATTGCCTCACTGAAATAATAGCATCATGGTCAAACATGTTTAAATGCTTTCAAGGCAACACAGTATTATGCAATTAAAGCTGTTTGCTATTCAGTTGTCTCCATCAATTTGTCTAGGCTGCATGATCATAAATCCAAGGCTAGATTACAGACAGCAATGAGTTGGAATAATACCCTGATCCACTCGAAAAGCAATTTTGTTATTTGCTGAATTCTTGGCACACAAAATTGTGAAGTTACACATTTATTATTATCACAAATAATATATCCAACAATGCAAAAAGAAATCTGACTAAAAAGTTGTCACATAGTAACAATACATTGCTCCTTATTTTCTGAAGCTGAAATAAATAAAATGTTGTAAATAAGTATTTTATACCATCAGTTCTCTTCAGATTAAAATGTACATTAAATGGTTGTCAGAGTCAAAACTGCATATAAATAGTAAATGCTAAATTGATTGACATAATTAAATGCCATTGTCCTTAATTAACATACACAAGTCACTACCAGGAATGAGATGCTTTCATCCACAGTGTTTCCCCTAGGATTTTTTTCAGCAGCGGTGGCAAATTTAGCGGGGGGTTATGATAGTGGGCGTGGCCGGTTTTAGAGGCCGCCCTCTTGGCCGCAGACATTTTGCTGTTTTAAAGGAAATTTCCTGCAATTCGACACATTTTGTCACAGGGCAGAGAGAAAATGTTTAGTTTTAAAGCGAGTTTCCTACAATTCTATACATTTTGCCATGCCTTATGCCTTGTTCTTATGCTATCTGAGTGACACAAACGTAACAAAATCAATGCCGTGACATTTTTGGAATTTCAGATTCTCCCTGACTGTCTACATTTACATTTACGTCATTTAGCAGATGCTCTTATCCAGAGCGACTTACAGTTAGTGAGTGCATACATTCTTTTTTTCTTTTTTCATACTGGCCCCCCGTGGGAATTGAACCCACAACCCTGGCGTTGCAAATGCCATGCTCTACCAACTGAGCTACATCCCTGCCGGCCATTCCCTCCCCTACCCTGGACGACGCTGGGCCAATTGTGCGCCGCCCCATGGGTCTCCCGGTCGCGGGAGTTTTTATTTTGGTGCTTGTTAGTTCTCAAAGATTATCTTATTAAAAAAATGTTTTGCTCCATAATCTTTTCTACATACCTTATCTGGTTTTAGTCGTTGAAGTTTACATTTAAAACGTTTTACCATCCCCAAAATGATTTTTTATTTTTTTGCAGTGTAGGCCACGATTTAGCAGCGGCGGTGCGATGCTAGTAAAATGCATATAGGGGGAACACTGACAAAACTGGTGGGCCAACTGGTTACACTAACAACAATAGCTTGTAACTTCATAGGGACCCGTAGAATATTAATCTACATCTTGGCGTAATGCTCAAATTCATTCCACAGGCACTCTAACTGGCTTTTGATCTCTTCATGTATCTTCTTTGTCTGATTTGTCTTCACCTGGGGAAAAAACCCTCTGACAGGACAGTGCTTTTACACAGTACATTCATAAACCATGATCTGGTAATTCAATAAGCAAATGATTGACTTCTTCACTATCAGACTGTAGTCCTCAAGTCCTTCAGACCAGAATCTCATTGTGATGACCATATGTCCCCATTAATACATACTGTATTTCACTTGTTCAACTGGTGTAAGACATAAGCAGGTTTAGGTCATTATCTCTGGGCTATAGACAGTCCACCCATGGAGTCCTGAGATTCAAGCTCATTGGATAAAATCCTCCTGCTGTTTTCACTGTAGCTTCCGTTGGGAAGGAAGGATAGTCTAGAAGGGGGAAATGAAAAGAATGCTGTTAGTTAGAGTTATGAGCTGATGAGGGTCAGAGTAAAAGACTGATGATATCCAATGGAAAGTGAATCTGAAAAAAGACAAATGTTGATGTATTAGTATACTGGTGCTGTTTCTCTAGAGTTATAATGCAGTTATTTTGGTATAGAACGTATACTGTAGAAGGCTTCTAGAAGGCAGGGCAGATACCAGATATTGTTACACAACCAGCTACGCTAACAGTAGAATAGACACATCTCTCACGCCTCAAGACGTGGATTCTTAATTACTATTTTTTTAAAATGATCCTCCATGTGAGACAAGGGAGATGTACCAGTCCATAGTTGTTCATTAGGAAACTGGGCTGGAGCGCCCTTATGGAACTGTATCTCATGTTATGAAACAAACAACAATTTTGTCTGTCATTGTATATTGCCACTACCATTGCCGGCTAACCTTGCTGCATCCCCCCTCCCCCTCCAAAAGGACCAAAATGGAAATAAGCTTTTAAGCCTTGTGTTATCCTTGATGATTTTCTTAAATCGTATGTGGAGGCGTCACTGGCTGGAGCGCCCTTATGTATGTATTAAAAAATTGTCTAATAAATTCAATCAATCAACCTCCAAATGCAGTCTGTTCTCTCAGAAGACCGTTTACTGTCAAAATAGAGCTCTCGAAGTCTCTATTTATCAAACAAGTACTTATCATACCCAGACGAACAATGTCAAATGCTTTTTGTCTAAGCCTGTACAGAATGGGAGGTCATTGTCATGTCAGGCATTGTCATGATCAACTTGACAACATGAAAATGTCACCAGGACATCCAAACTTGGACATGTGTTATCACTCCTACACTGATGTTTCAAACATACTTTTTTTGGCAGGAATGACAAATGGTTTATAAATAGTTTATTGCGATTGTCTTAGGTCATATTTACACTACTGATCTGCCATTAAAGCTGCAGTAATGCACAGCTGCAGTGGGGAAAAAAGTATTTAGTCAGCCACCAATTGTGCAAGTTCTCCCACTTAAAAAGATGAGAGGCCTGTAATTTTCATCATAGGTACACGTCAACTATGACAGACAAATTGAGAGAAAAAAATCCAGAAAATCACATTGTAGGATTTTTAATGAATTTATTTGCAAATTATGGTGGAAAATAAGTATTTGGTCACCTACAAACAAGCAAGATTTCTGGCTCTCACAGACCTGTAACTTCTTCTTTAAGAGGGTCCTCTGTCCTCCACTCGTTACCTGTATTAATGGCACCTGTTTGAACTTATCAGTATAAAAGACACCTGTCCACAACCTCAAACAGTCACACTCCAAACTCCACTATGGCCAAGACCAAAGAGCTGTCAAAGGACACCAGAAACAAAATTGTAGACCTGCACCAGGCTGGGAAGACTGAATCTGCAATAGGTAAGCAGCTTGGTTTGAAGAAATCAACTGTGGGAGCAATTATTAGGAAATGGAAGACATACAAGACCACTAATCTCCCTCGATCTGGGGCTCCACGCAAGATCTCACCCCGTGGGGTCAAAATGATCACAAGAACGGTGAGCAAAAATCCCAGAACCACACGGGGGGACCTAGTGAATGACCTGCAGAGAGCTGGGACCAAAGTAACAAAGCCTACCATCAGTAACACACTACGCCGCCAGGGACTCAAATCCTGCAGTGCCAGACGTGTCCCCCTGCTTAAGCCAGTACATGTCCAGGCCCATCTGAAGTTTGCTAGAGTGCATTTGGATGATCCAGAAGAGGATTGGGAGAATGTCATATGGTCAGATGAAACCAAAATATAACTTTTTGGTAAAAAACTCAACTCGTTGTGTTTGGAGGACAAAGAATGCTGAGTTGCATCCAAAGAACACTATACCTACTGTGAAGCATGGGGGTGGAAACATCATGCTTTGGGGCTGTTTTTCTGCAAAGGGACCAGGACGACTGATCCGTGTAAAGGAAAGAATGAATGGGGCCATGTATCATGAGATTTTGAGTGAAAACCTCCTTCCATCAGCAAGGGCATTGAAGATGAAACGTGGCTGGGTCTTTCAGCATGACAATGATCCCAAACACACCGCCCGGGCAACGAAGGAGTGGCTTCGTAAGAAACATTTCAAGGTCCTGGAGTGGCCTAGCCAGTCTCCAGATCT